ATACGGAAGCAGCCCAAGTTGCCATCAGTTGATGAACAGATAAAGAAGATGTGGTATAGAGAGATACACAACGGAACGTTACTCAGCCATAAAAAACCAGAATGAAATCTTGCCATTTGCAACAACATGGATGGGGCTGGAAAGTACAAGGCTAAGTGAAATCAGTCAGTCAGGGAAAGACAAATACCGTATGATTTCACTCAGATGTGGAATTTAAGAAACAAACAAGCAAAGGGGGAAAAAAGACACAGAGAGAAAGCCAAACGCAAAAACAGACTCTTAATTATGGAGAACAAACCGATGGTTGTCAGAAGGGAGGTGGGTAGGGGGAGGGAAGAAATAGGTGATGGGGATTAAGGAGGACTCGTGAGGAGCATCGGATGATGTATAGAATTGTTGAATCACTAATTGTGCACCCGAAACTAATATAACACTGTATGTTAACTAACCGGAATTAAAATTAAAACTTAAACAGACAAACAACAAAGCAAAACAAAGCCAAACATTCTAAAGATGGCTGTTTCTCATCACAAGAAAAAAAGGTCACTGTGTATGATGATAGATGTTAACTAGACTTGTGACCATTATTCGTGGTATATCATCAAAATAGATACACCGATACATGTATCGAATATGTATCAGATATACGTTGCAATATATACATATATCGAATGGCTATGTTGTGCATCTGACACTAATGTAGTATTACATGTCAATTATATTTCAATTGTAAAAAGAAGATGCTTTATTAACGGAAACTTACAGTCTTTAAAAAACAAAAAATGCAGGCTCGCAATTCAGTCCCTTCGGAGGCAAAGAGCTGTGGTTTGGAAGCTTGATTCTGCCCCTTGCGGACTCTAGAGGTCTGGGTAATTCTTAGCCTCTCTGGGGCTCAGTTTCCTCATCTGTAAAGTGGGAACTTAAAACACTCCCTGCGTTTTAGGATTGTTGTGAGAATCCACTGGGTGAGCACGGAAGATACTCATCACAGCGGCCAATGAAATGCCTCTTTTACAGGGCGGGTTCCCTCTGGAGGCGGCCATCTTTAGAAAGATTTAGAATCTTTCTAAATTCGCTCTCCTTTTCCGCCAAGCTGACTCAGTCACCCACTTGGCAGCGGGG